AACACAGAAGTCACTGTGGAGATGATGTTTGCTGAACTGAATCTGAGTTCAGTTGACAGCAGATTTGGAGAGGATCTCAGTGCAGGACACCACCCCTCAGGGGGACGTGGTCCCGCTGTCAGTCAACAGGGTCCGCAGGCCTCCCCGTCCACCTGCCCAGATTGAGCGGGAAGCTCGTTGGGGTGGAGGCTCCTGTCGCTGACTACAGAACAGACTTTCACACATACAAGACTGTTGAAAAAAACCACTGTTTTAACTGGTAAACAAGTCACTGAGCAATAAAGTGTACTGGAAACTTTGTATACATACAAAGCAATCAGAGTTACTTTTAAAATAGCAATACCATTCAAAAGAACTAGAAAAGAAAAAAAGGTAACTTTTAGCTAACAATCTATTAATGTTCTTTAATAGACCAATCTAATTTTTAATTGTACAGAGTTGGCTATATGATGTACTACCTAAAACTATGCTACTAGGAGATTTTACTTCAACAAAAGGATGAGATTTACCCCTATTTGTTAGGAGGTGACTGTTAACTGGACATGGCCTGCCCTTCACCAGATGAAGATCAGAACCTCACTATGAAGCCCGGCAAGCCGTCTGGACAGGGACTTTTCCTCCTCAAATGTAACATCTGTATTATCAGGGTTTTCTATGCACCTACCTAACACTTTTTTGTCATTTTGTGACTTTGACTAAAATCCCAGCAGATTGCATCTTCTGAAGGAATAGAGGGCCCTGCCATATTTTTTAGTCCTTGTAGCAAGATACTGAGTAGAATACGTAACACCTTGGATTAAACTTACATCAGCAAAATAACAACTTTACAATTTATAGGTCACATGTTTCAAAAAGTAATCTTTTTTTCTCTTTCTCTGAAGAAGTTCTTTTAACGGGAATCTATGAGAATGTGAGTGCATACCAGGGGTAACTGTACAGATCAGCACATGCTGTTCCACTTTCAAGAGCCTTAATCGCTCTCAGAAGTACAATTACACGCACACACACACAAGCTATGACGAACATAGCAAATACATTTTTTCTGATATGTAATTACAACCATAAAATAAAATTTAATGTAAAAATCTATAGGCATAAATGATGTGTAAAACACAAATTCACTTTAAGTAAAATAACTTAAGTAAAAAAAAGGAACCAAATTACTAACAGAAACAAATCATCCAAACAATGTTAATTTCTTATCTTTTCCTATAAACTCTGAATATACATATACAGATATAAAATCTATATGACAGATAATATATATAAAATACAATACATAACATATATGTGTATTTCAAGCAGTTCTAGCTCCAGCCTTGTCATAGGGGAGAGAATATCTGAAGATTATGTGGGTTGGTAGGTTTTTCTTTTAAAATCTCATGTTTAATTCCCACTTGTGAACTATCTGAGTGCACAGCATTCTATTATCCTGCCTCAGGGCTCCTTCTACCCCATGGCCTCAAACCTCTCCTCTCTTGTGCATCTAACCAGGGACTAACATCTCTGGTGCACTCGTGCTTTCCCACAAACCTAGAGGTCAGCATGATCACAACTCATCACGAGCTTTAAGCAATTTTGTTTATCACCCAGCTTTAATTGCCTTCACCCAATTTTTACTCACAGCTCCTTTGCATATATTTTCATTACACTCCACTCTCTTGATCATACCTTGATTAAGTGGCTAATCTGCTTGAATTTTCATTTTACATTTACTTCCCAAACCAAATGGGAAGCTTTCCGGCATTCAGTGAAGGCCACTGTGCAGGGTCAATACCCTGCAGCACCATAAGAGGGGACCCCTTTCTAACATGGTTGAGTCCCCACTGAATACGAGTAATCATATGGTGGATTAAGGTTTTAAATAACCAAACTTCTTGACTTATTGTTCATCCTGTTTTTCCTTAGCACTCAGAGCAGCTTTAGATACTCTAATAGGAATAAAAACATTTTAAAAGAGTAGATGACTTTGGGACTTCCCTGGTGGCGCAATGGATAAGACTCCATGCTCCCAATGCAGGCGGCCTGGGTTTGACCCTTGGTCAGGGAACTAGATCCCACACGTATGCTGCAACTAAGAGTTCGCGTGCCACAACTAAGGAGCCCTGGAACCGCAACTAAGGAGACTGCCTGCCACAACTAAGACCTGGTGCAACCAAATAAATAAATAAATATTTTTTAAAGTAATGCATTAAAAAAAAAAGAGTACATGACTTTATGAGTACAGACACAAAATTCCTCAATAAAATATTAGCTAACCAAGTAGTGCAGCAACATGTAAGAAAAAATATATTTATACACACACACACACACACACACACACACACACACGAGATTTATCCCAAGAAGACAAGATTGTTTCAACATATAGAAAGCAATAAATATAATAAAACCATATTAACAGAATACAGGACGACCCTTTCATGATAAAACAACTAGGAACAGAGGGGACCTTCCTCAATCTGATAAAGGGCATCCACGAAAAGCTCACAGCAAACATCATGTTTAATGTGCGAAGACGAAGTGTTCCCCTAGGATCAGGAACAAGAAAAGCATGTCTGATCCTGCCACTATTGTTCAACATGCACTGGGAGGTCTAGACAGAGGATTCAGGAAAGAAAGAAAACGTATTCAGACCAGAAAGGAAGAAGTGAAAGTATCTTTACTTATAGATGACATAATTTTGCATATAGAAAATCCTAAGGAACACACACACACACACACACACACACAACTATTAGAGCAAATAAAATGAATTCAGAGTATAAGGTCATTGCACAAAAATCATTGTATTTCTACAAAGTAGCAATGAACAATCCAAAGATGAAATTAAGAAAACAATTCCATTTACAGCATTTAAAAGAACAGACCAAAGACATGACAAGAAAACAACAGACCAATACCCCTTATGAATACAGATACAAAAGTTCTTAACAGAACTGTAGCAAACTGAACTCAACAGCACATTAGAAGGATTATACACCATGAAACAAAGGGGAAGAAAGTCCCACACAATCTTCTCAATAGATGCAGAAAAAGCACTGGACAGAATTCAACACCCTTTTATGATAAAAACGCTCAGAAAACTAGGAGTAAAAGGGAGCTTCCTTAATATGATATGGGGCATTTATGAAAAACCCACAGCTAATATCATACTTGATAGTGAGAGACCGAAATCTTTTCACCCTAAGACTAGGAAAAAGACAAGAATGCCTACTTTTACCGCTACATTCAATACTGTACTGGAAGTCCTAGCTAGCATAATTAGGCAAGACACAAAATTAAAGGCATTCAAATTAGAAATATGAATTTTTTGGAACTTTACTATTTTGATAGACTACACAATTCTATATGAAAAAATCCCATAGCATCCACACAAAAAACCTACTAGAGCTAATAAACAAATTCAGCAAAACTGCAGACTGTGAAATCATTTGTGTTTCTTTATGCCAGAAATAAAAAAAAATTCCAAAAATAAATAAATAAAACAATTCCATTTACAACAGCATCCAAAAGAATAAAATACCAATAAATTTAACCAAGGAGGTAAAAGACCTGTACACCCAAAACTAAAAAATACTGCTGGCAGAAATGAAAGAAGGTCTAAGTAGGTGAAAAGACATTCCATGTTCATGGATTAGAAAACTTAATACTGTTAAGATGGCAACACTCCCTAAAGCAGTCTACATTGAACATAACCCTTATCAAAATCCCAATAGTCATTTCTCCAGAAATGGAAAAGCCAATCCTCAAATTCATAAAGAACTGCAAGGGGCCGCAAATAGCCAAAGCAATCTTGAAAAAGAAGAACAAAGTTGGAGGGTTCACATTTCCAGATTTCAAAACTGACTAAAAAGCTACAGTGGTCAAAACAGCATGGCAGGGGGCTTCCCTGGTGGCGCAGTGGTTGAGGGTCCGCCTGCCAGTGCAGGGAACACGGGTTTGTGCCCCAGTCTGGGAGGATCCCACGTGCCACGGAGCGGCTGGGCCTGTGAGCCATGGCCGCTGGGCCTGCACGTCCGGAGCCTGTGCTCCGCAGCGGGAGGGGCCGCGACAGTGAGAGGCCCGCATACCGCAAAAAACAAAAACAAAAACAAAAAACAGCATGGTACATATTAGCTAATGCAATAAGACAAGTAAAGGAAATAAACGATATATTGACTGGGAAGAAAGAAATATAACTTTGTTCACAGAGGTGTAGAATATCCAAAAGCATCAACAAAAAAACTCCAAGAACCAATAAGTGATTATAACAAGGTTGCAGGATACAAGGTTAACATATAAAATTCAACTGCTTTCCTATATACCAGCAATGAACAAGTGAAATTTGAAATTTAAAACACAATACCATATACATTAGCACTCAAAATAACAGAATAGTTATAAAATCTAGCAAAATATATGTAAGATCTATATGAGAAAAACCACAAAATGCCACTGAAATAAATCAAAGAACTAAATAAATGGAGAGAGATTCCATTTCTGTAATGAGAAAACAGATAAATAACAAGAAAGTCCCTATGTCAGTGTTTAGCTGAGCCACTAAGTTGGCTTGGTGAAGGGGTCTGGCAAGTCTAGGGCCTCATTATTAATTCTCACTTCTTAGGTTTCTACATTTCTTACACTTAACTCCAAAGTTAAGTATATTTAATAACCTAATGGTCAATTAATGAATTAACATTGGTAATAAGTTAAATTACATAGGTGGAAATAGCTAGTTTTAAAAGTCAGTTCACAGTGATTGCACTCATTTCGTTGGATAAAAAAAGAGCACTTTTTTTAAATGGTTGCCTAATATGTCTTTATAAACACAGTCCATTTGCATTATGGGAAAGGATGTGCAGATTTCAGACATCTGGGTCCCTTGATGGTCCACAGAATCTTGCACGATATTTTTATCATACACATTGTATTGAAATGTGGTGTCCATAAACAAAAATAAGAATGGGCAGTGCCACTCACACAGATGACTTCAAAGAGAACCCAGCCAGTCCACTCACCTTGGGGTGCTATCAGAGTTCTTCCATGCTCCTGACACCAACCAACTGGCTGAACATAAGGACTATTGACGTCACACCTGCAAAAACAGGATTCTATTTTAGATCCCATATTAACACCAGAGAAAGAATCCAAGAGTAATGTTCATTCTAGATATTAAGAGATGACATGGAAAATACTACGGCATAGCTAAAATATTTTATAGCCTAAGAGAAACAGAAGTAATTTTAGTTCTATATTTTGTAAGCTGAGTGGCCAAACTTCTCTTTTACATAACCTTCTTGAAATTTAAAAGTATTTCTTTTAAAAGTGTTTGACTAGGACCTGAACTGCCAGTGATCTCCCCAGAGAGTGAACATTTTAATAAACCCCTTCTACCACTTCTTGCTAGCAGCAAGGGAAAATATTAATAGGCCAGTCCAAATTTTAATAAGACGGGCCAGACTCCACATGCCCACAATTTCCTCCCTCTCCTTTTCAGGAACCCAGACTATACTACCTAAGACACATACAGCAATTAATCCATGCTCTTCTTCTTAGTTCAAAGAAGAAAACAGCCCCCCTCCTCCCACCGTGCACATGAAGAATCACAGCCTCAGGCGGGGACTTGTCAATTATTCAGGATATGCTCTTAAGAAATGCCACAAAAATTATTTTTGCCGTGCCCTCTTCCATATTTCAGGTTTTCACCCAGAAAATCCTTTTAACTCATGCAATGTTAGTTTAATGGCATCGTGAGCATACATTTTCTCTGCTCTTCACAGGCTTTCAAATAATTCACTCCATTCTCCCTGAATCTTCCCTTTTAAAAATATGACAGTCTGAGTTCAACATTTTTCAGGAAAAAATAATACTGCAAGTTCTTAACTTCCTCTTTACAGAAATGCTTCCCTTACAAACTAGACACAATATAGTGGACTGCCCTGAACTGGTCACATTATTTCAGATGAGGCCTCATTAGGCAACCTCTCAGAGATGAAAAAAAAACTTTCTCGGTTCTTTAATTCAACAGTTCACGAGGAAAAGAAGGTAGTGACAAGCCAGCCACTAGGTTCCTCATGCTCATTACTATAAGAACAGTGACAGTCATGGAATGAACATAAATTCTTAACGGCAAACACGAACACACAAAAATACAACGCAGATTGGTGTCTCACCAGTAATCGTAACTATCATCCCAATTGTCAAAATGCACTAGCAAGCGATCTCCAACAATGTCTGCTATGGTTGCCACACATACCAAGGAAGGGTTCTTCCTGTCGACAGCCTCCAGCTTCATTCCAACCTGAAATTCCTTAGGCACTGGCCCATTCTAACACGGGGAAGAGGCACAAAGAGAAACAGGACACCAAACAGGACTGAGCCACTGTCAAAACTTCTGTCATGTTTAGCATCAGAAAAGTCTACAGGGCAGCAACACTTAAACTGCAGAATGAAGCCAGCCAGTAAAAATATTCCAACAGACTGTTACCAAGTGTACATTCATAAAAAAGGAATCCCAGGAAGTGAACTTTTACTCTGTGCTTTTCTCTTTCGTTGTGCAGGTAGGTTTTATTTCCCCTTTCATCATCATTTTCCCTCTTCAGTTCATAGAATAATCTGTATTAATTTTAAAATACACTGTTTACTGAATACAGTAATATCAAATAATTTTCTCTGGTCCCCGTAGGCTTTAGATGGGTGGTATATTTCCAAATACCACTATTTGGAAAAGTTTTAAAGATATGCTCTTTAGCACTAAAATTACCACTTATACTTGGATCAAGTGTTGAAATTAGTGGCTTTCTCAACATTTAAGGAACACATGCGCTTATCCATAAATAAATCATAGTTGAAAAAAGAACAAATGCTTTTTTTAGTACCTGCATATATTTTTTAGTATTAAAAATACTAAGGGCTATGATTTATAATAACATGACAATGATAAAGCCCCACTTTTCCTGTAGCTATAATTAGCCAGGCCTGGGATTTAGAAAATATACACACAATATCCAGGGACTAGAAGAGGGTTTTTTTCCCCTACTTCTTTACTACCTGTACTGGACCCTGATTTTTGGTTTCCTTTAGCACATTACTTTTCTTAAAGCATTTTCACATTTCTCTAACTCTCTTCCTTGATACGAGTCTGAAACATGTTGAACAGTTGTAGAACACTGATTCAAGAGCAGGACACTGAAGCCTGGGGAAGGGGGTTGGGGGGTGGGGACTGTCCTCAGGGGACACAGCCAGCAGGTTGTGGGGCCTCCCTGGCTCCAGGCTTCCCGCCCTTCCGCGGTGTGTGGCCTCACCTGGGGCCCAGAGGAGGCAGGGCTGTGACTGTTTCTCCTTCTCTCCTGAACACCTGTTAGGCTGCTGGGACACAGAGGGTGAGTGTGCTCCACCCAAATCCTCACACACCCTTCGAATCTATGTGAACCGTCACCCTCTTTTTCATTACACATAAATACAACTGGACCAGGTACAGTCAAAGTCCACCTGGCATATCAGCAGGTCTCAAAGCATCAAACTAAATTTAAACGACTAACTCACTAGAAGCAAAAAGAAACACCTTCTAAAAGGCATTTTAAATTTTAGCCAGCTTTACATATAAATGTTTCTACTCTCCCCATCTAATTATTTAATTGTATGTTTAAAAGAAAAACAAATATGCCCATAGGAAACTGACAAATCTAGTGAGAAAAGTCATAGGAAGCTAAGGATTCTTAAAAGATTAAAATAGAACAGAATACATAGTGAATTTTAAGAAATTTAAGTTGAAGTAAAAATCTGATTTATACTATGGAAGAAAATACTTACAGAATTTCTGTTTCTGAATAATTTCTTGGGAGCATTTTGCAATTTGCAGGCCTTCAAGTAATCCATCCAAACAAATTTATCTTTTCTATAACCTAAAAAAAAGTACGAATTATTCAAAATACCCACAAGATGTAACCATGTGCATAATAAATGTATCAATACTATTCTTATTCAGTTTTCTGCCATAAATTCAGATTTCTGCCAAAATCCTTTAGCAGACACAAAAGATTTATATTAAAATCTCTAAACTGTTTCAGTGCTGTTTTAATGTATGGAATTCCAAACTGTTGAGTTTGACTTCCCACCATGCATGTCATTCCCTACGAAGTTTAAAACTCATTCAAATATGGAATCAGTACCCTGGTGGCCTGACAGGAGTCTCATCTCCTGCGTCCCTCAGGCCTCCTGAAGCAGCCACGTCCCCGAGGCCAGCGTGGGCCTGATGGTAAGCAGCCCCGGGGGAGCCAGACACTGCAGGGGCAACAGAACCGCCCCCCAGGCCACGTGGCAGTTCCAGCTTTCTGCCCTTGTCTTTACGGGCTTCCCAATAAAATGCCTGACCCTCCCGTCCATGTGCCCTAAAGCAGCTCGCGTGGGGCTGGCCCAAATAACCAGGCTCAGGAAATACTCAGATTGAGTGTCACAGAACAGACGTCAAACTCCTTGCACTGGCCTTCAAGGCCACGGTGACACCTCTCACTTATCTCCTCCCTCCTGGCCCTTGCCTCTCCGCTCGCTCCAGCACTCCTGTGATTACTGGCCTGCGCCACACCCGCTGCTGGGCTCTGACACGTGCTCCTCCCCAGGGAGCCAGCTGGCTGTCTCTGTCGTGCATCCGTCCAGGCACCTGTCAGATGTCACACCCCAGGCCTGTCTTCACCTTGCTTATTGCAAGGGCAGCCCTGGGACCCCACTCAGCGCTCCATGCCTGTCGCCGCTAGACACGCACCTTTCTCTCTGTTTATCCTCCTTCTCCCCTCTGGAATGAAAGCCCCGTGAAGACAGAGACGGTTTCCTTTATTCACTGCTCTGTCTCCAGGGCCTGCACACAAGAAAGGCTCCACGAACACCAACCACCCACGGGGTGAATGAGCCTGGGGCCTGTTCCAACCTCCCTGAAACCCAGCAATCTCAGAGGACCCTGCTGCCAGCCTCAGGGGTGGATCCCAGAGGATACCCTGAGCTGCTTCCTAAGAGTAAAATGACTATACAGTGACTCCAGAAGTTGCCACGGTCAGCCAGGAGTCTAACACCCAAGCAGGAGACCTTATATACAAATATGCTGGTCAAGGAAACAGGCCCACTGGCATCTCAACCTATGAATCCTCACCTCACTAGCAGGCAGCAGGTAAGAAAGGTTTCAGTCATGTCTGCCAGACCCAGTTCCTCTCCCACATAACAAAAGACAAAGATGAGATTTTTAATTCCCATCGAAAGAAAACAGTGAATTTTTCACTTTCATAGTTCCCTGTGCTCCATGATTTCTGCTTGAAACAAATGATATACAGTGAATCAAGTTTCCTCACTGTACAGCATCACTGATTAAGTGAAATATTTTATTTCAACTGTAATTTAAACATTAGTTTCTTCATTCCTTATAAAGTTTAATAGACTTTATGTAAGATAAAATGCTCTCATGAGATTTTACTTCTGCCCTATGTACCTCAGAGTATTTGACCTAAACGGTCTCTGATGCTTTTCTTTAAAGACATTTATTTATTTCTAACAGTGATATCCTTGTAGTCTTACTGCTTTTTGTGGATCAAACTTTCATTTTGAAAATCAATTCACACCAGGCTCTCTTGTTAGTATTTCATTAAAAAGCTGACTGTCCTTTCCTCCTGACTTACCCTTAGGGATGTGTAATTCATGTTTGGTCTTTTCACACCACCCTACTGGATGAATGTCAGGGGAACCAGCATTAGTCCAAAAATCATAGCAGCTTAAATAACCGTCAAAATGAAGTCTGAGACGGTAACCACACACCTGCAAAACGGAATGTTTACAATCGTTCATTAAAAGTCATGCATTTGAAGTGTACACAAAATTAACAAAATATTCATTTATTCTGTCAACACCATCAATATATATGAACCAATCCTTACATCCAAATGTCTTAAAGAACAAATTCATAGATGAATCTGGATAAGACAAATGCTGACAAACTAGACACTATCTTTCAAGTATCAAAAATTTTTCTGCAAAAAAACCTATCCTTTTACTCAGTCTAGGAATCTGAGGTCAATTTACATAACCATTAAGCGACAAGTTGTTTATTTGTTCATTCAATACCTAGCAAATATTCCTTTCAGAAACCCCATCTCCTGCTGTCTGGCTTGGATTCATACCCCAAAACAGTGTAACCTAAAGTACACAGCAAAAACCAAAATGGGTATGACCTTACTTAACCTAACATATGGATCCAGCATACTCAACAAAGAAAAACAGTCTATGAAACACATCTCCTAGACATGCTATACAAGTTCAATAACTATAATCATTCAGTAAATTAAGTGAATAGTGTTTTCTATGTTTGATGTTATTCGAAATACTGAGGTCTTTTATCAATTTAATAACATAAAATGTTTAGTAAATATTATATAAGCCATTTACTTGATCAACGGCTCCTCACCCTATATAATTTTCATAAAATTCATGTATTTATATAAATATATAATTCATAAGCATGGATTTTTTCATATACATTTCTCATTAGTTCAGATAAAACTTGAATAATTGTCTCTTTTAACAGACAAAAGCAACATTGTGGGATTCACTGATTTTTATCAACCTCAGGTGAAAACTATTTACCAATTAAATCAAGAGTTACCACTAGTAATGAGAAACTTAGAAAATTAATCTTCAGACAAGGAAAAAACTTCATTAAAGAACATACTTCACTCATCACTGAATAAAATAAATCCATAATGTACTTGGGCTTGTTTATAACACAAAGTACTGAAATTCGTCATTCTCTAGAAAATTCTTTCCTGTCACTGCAATTAGCCCAAGACAATAACACTATTTCTTACCTCAGCTACAGAAAGCACACAAAACACAGATGGATGACGGGGGTCAATGCCTTCTAATCTCATTCCAACCTGAAAACCATTTTCACGCTCCGGAAAGGACTGGTCCTACGAAATTTCATGATATAATATTAATCACCGAAATATCTTCACAGTTTGATATTAAAAAACTTGGTGTCTCTATGCACACAATCATACACGTTTGGAAGCTCAATAATATAACCAAAGAAAGAAGCCTGCTCTTGGAGATTTTGCCCTCAAAGACGGCTTGATTGGTTGTACGTTCTTTGAAATAGTTCATCTGCCAAACTTTATGTCCTGTGAACTCCCCACCTACTCCTTTTGCCCATTTTTCCTTAATGATCTGAAGCAGCTCTTCCTGTACTCTGGACACAATCCTTTGTTGATTATAATGGTTACTTAGTCCCAATCTGTGACTTACTTGGCTTTTCACATTGTTTATGATGACTGTGGAGAATTTTATTTTAACGTAATAAAATATATCAGCTATTTGCTGTACAGTTGGCACATCTAGCCTATGAAATCCCTTGCAACACTGAAGTTACATAGATATTCTCCTACTGTTATTTTATTTTTTAACATCTTTATTGGAGTATAATTGCTTTACAATGGTCTGTTAGTTTCTGCTTTATGACAAAGTGAATCAGTTATACATATACACATGTCCCCATATCTCTTTCCTCTTGCATCTCCCTCCCTCCCACGCTCCCTATCCCACCCCTCTAGGTGGTCACAAAGTACTGAGCTAATCTCCCTGTGCTATGCGGCTGCTTCCCACTCCATCCATTTTACGTTTGGTAGTGTATATATGTCCATGCCACTTTCTCACTTTGTCCCAGCTTACCCTTCCGCCTCCCAGTATCCTCAAGTCCATTCTCTAGTAGGTCTGCATCTTTATTCCCGTCTTGCCCCTAGGTTCTTCGACCATTTTTTTTCCTTCTTTAGATTCCATATATATGTGTTAGCATACGGTATTTGTTTTTCTCTTTCTGGCTTACTTCACTCTGTATGACAGTCTCTAGGTCCATCCACCTCACTGCAAATAACTCAGTTTCGTTCCTTTATATGGCTGAGTAATATTCCACTGTATACATGTGCCACATCTTCTTTATCCATTCATCTGTTGATGGACACTTAGATTGCTTCCATGTCCTGGCTATTGTAAATAGTGCTGCAGTGAACATTGTGGTACATGACTCTTTTTGAATTATGGTTTTCTCAGGGTATATGCTCAGTAGTGGGATTGCTGGGTCATATGGTAATTCTATTTGTAGTTTTTTAAGGAACCTCCATACTGTTCTCCATAGTGGCTGTATCAATTTACATTCCCACCAACAGTGCAAGAGGGTTCCCTTTTCTCCACACCCTCTCCAGCATTTCTTTGTAGATTTTTTGATGATGGCCACGCTGACCAGTGTGAGATGATATCTCATTGTAGTTTTGATTTCCATTTCTCTAATGATTAATGATATTGAGCATTCTTTCATGTGTTTGTTGGCAATCTGTATATCTTCTTTGGAGAAATGTCTATTTAGGTCTTCTGCCCATTTTGGGATTGGGTTGTTGGTTTTTTTGATATTGAGCTGCATGAGTTGCTTCTATGTTTTGGAGATTAATCCTTTGTCAGTTGCTTCATTTGCAAATATTTTCTCCCATTCTGAGCATTGTCTTTTCATCTTCTTTATGGTTTCCTTTGCTGTGCAAAACCTTTTAAGTTTTTTGTTTATTTTTGTTTTTATTACCATTTCTCTAGGAGGTGGGTCAAAAAGGTTCTTGCTGTGATTTATGTCATAGAGTGTTCTGCCTATGTTTTCCTCTAAGAGTTTGATGGAGCCTGGCCTTACATTTAGGTCTTTAATCCATTTTGAGTTTATTTTTCTGTATGGTGTTAGGGAGTGTTCTAATTTCATTCTTTTACATGTAGCTGTCCAGTTTTCCCAGCACCACTTATTGAAGAGGCTGTCTTTTCTACACTGCATATTCTTGCCTCCTTTATCAAAGATAAGGTGACCATATGTACGTGGGTTTACCTCTGGGCTGTCTATCCTGTTCCATTGATCTATATTTCTGTTTTTGTGCCAGTACCATACTGTCTTGATTACTGTAGCTTTGTAGTATACTCTGAAGTCAGGAAGCCTGATTCCTCCAGCTCCATTTTTCTTTCTCAAGATTGCTTTGGCTATTCGGGGTCTTTTGTGTTTCCATACAAATTGTGAAATTTTTTGTTCTAGTTCTGTGAAAAATGCCAGTGGTAGTTTGATAGGGATTGCATTGAATCTGTAGATTGCTTTGCGTAGTAGAGTCATTTTCACAATGTTGATTCTTCCAATCTAAGAACATGGTATATCTCTCCATCTGTTTGTAACATCTTTAATTTCTTTCATCAGTGTCTTATAATTTTCTGCATACAGTTTTTTTGTCTCCTTTGGTAGGTTTATTCCTAGATATTTTATTCTTTTTGTTGCAATGGTAAATAGGAGTGTTTTCTTAATTTCACCTTCAGATTTTTCATCATTAGTGTATAGGGATACAAGAGATTTCTGTGCATTAATTTTGTATCCTGCTACTTTACCAAATTCATTGATTAGCTCTAGTAGTTATCTGGTAGCATCTTAGGATTCTCTATGTATAGTATTATGTCATCTGCAAACAGTGACAGCTTTACTTCTTCTTTTCCGATTTGGATTCCTTTTATTTGTTTTTCTTCTGATTGCTGTGGCTAAAACTTCCAAAACTATGTTGAATAATAGTGGTGAGAGTGGACATCCTTGTCTTGTTCCTGATCTTACAGGAAATGCTTTCAGTTTTTTACCACTGAGAACGATGTTGGCTGTGGGTTTGTCATATATGGCCTTTATTATGTTGAGGTAAGTTCCCTCTACGCCTACTTTCTGGAGGGTTTTTATCATAAATCGGTGTTGAATTTTGTCAAAAGGTTTTTCTGCATCTATCGAGATGATCATATAGCTTTTCTCCTTCAATTTGTTAATATGGTTTATCATGTTGATTGACTTGCATATATTGAAGAATCCTTGCATTCCTGGGATAAACCCCACTTGATCATGGTGTATGATCCTTTTAATGTGCTGTTGGATTCTGTTTGCTAGTATTTTGTTGAGAATTTTTGCATCTTTGTTCATCAGTGATATTGGCCTGTAGTTTTCTTTCTTTGTGACATCTTTGTCTGGTTTTGGTATCAGGGTGATGGTGGCCTCGTAGAATGAGTTTGGGAGTGTTCCTCCCTCTGTTATATTGTGGAAGAGTTTGAGAAGGATAGGTTTTAGCTCTTCTCTAAATGTTTGATAGAATTCTTTCGCCTGTGAAAGCCATCTGGTCCTGGGCTTCTGTTTGTTGGAAGATTTTTAATCACAGTCTCAATTTCAGTGCTTGTGATTGGTCTGTTCGTATTTTCTATTTCTTCCTGGTTCAATCTCAGAAGGTTGTGCTTTTCTAAGAATTTGTCCATTTCTTCTGGGTTGTCCATTTTATTGGCATATAGTTGCTTGTAGTAATCTCTCATGATCTTTTGTATTTCTGCAGTGTCAGTTGTTACTTCTCCTTTTTCATTTCTAATTCTATTGATTTGAGTCTTCTCCCTTTTTTTCTTGATAAGTCTGGCTAATAGTTTATCAATTTTGTTTATCTTCTCAAAGAACCAGCTTTTAGTTTTATTGATCTTTGGTATCGTTTCCTTCATTCCTTTCTCATTTATTTCTAATCTGATCTTTATGATTTCTTTCCTTCTGCTAATTTTGGGGGTTTTTTGTTTTTCTTTCTCTAATTGCTTTAGGTGTAAGGTTAGGTTGTTTATTTGAGATGTTTCTTGTTTCTTAAGGTAGGATTGTATTGCTATAAACTTCCCCCGTAGAACTACTTTTGCTTCATCCCATAGGTTTTGGGTCGTTGTGTTTTCATTGTCATTTGTTTCTAGGTATTTTTTGATTTCCTCTTTGATTTCTTCAGTGATCTCTTGGTTATTAAGTAGCGTGTTGTTTAGCCTCCATGTGTTTGTATTTCTTACAGATTTTTTTCCTGTAATTGATATCTAGTCTCATAGTGTTGTGGTCAGAAAAGATACTTGATACGATTTCAATTTTCTTAAATTTACCAAGGCTTGATTTGTGACTCAAGATATGATCCTGGAGAATGTTCCGTAAGCACTTGAGAAGAATGTGTATTCTGTTGTTTCTAGATGGAATGTCCTATAAATATCAATTAAGTCCATCTTGTTTAATGTATCATTTAAAGCTTGGGTTTCCTTATTTATTTTCATTTTTGATGATCTGTCTATTGGTGAAAGTGGGGTGTTAAAGTCCCCTACTCTGATTGTGTTACTGTCGATTTCCCCTTTTATGCCTGTTAGTATTTGCCTTATGTATTGAGGTGATCCTATGTTGGGTGCATAAATATTTACAATTGTTGTGTCTTCTTCTTGGATTGATCGCTTGATCATTATGTAGTGTCCTTCTTTGTCTCTTCTAATAGTCTTTATTTTAAAGTCTATTTTGTCTGATATGAGAATTGATACTCCAGCTTTCTTTCGATTTCCATTTGCATGGAATATCTTTTCCCATCCCCTCACTTTCAATCTGTATGTGTCCTTATGTCTGAAGTGGGTCTCTTGTAGATGGCATATATACAGGTCTTGTTTTTGTATCCATTCAGCCAGTCTATGTCTTTTGGTTGGAGCATTTAAACCATTTACATTTAAGGTAATTATCAATATGTATGCTCCTATTACCATTTTCTTAATTGTTTTGGTTTATTATTGTAGGTCTTTTCCTTCTCTTGTGTTTCCTGCCTAGAGAAGTTCCTTTACAATTTGTTGTAAAGCTGGTCTGGTGGTGCTGAATTCTCTTAGATTTTGCTTGTCTGTAAAGCTTTTAATTTCTCTGTCAAATGTGAATGAGATCCTTTCTGGGAACAGTAATCTTCGTTGTAGGTTTTTCTCCTTCATCACTTTCAATATGTCCTGCCACTCCCTTCTGGCTTGCAGATTTTCTGCTGAAAAATAAGCTGTTAACCTTATGGAGACTTCCTTGTGTGTTATTTGTTGTTTTTCCCTTGCTGCTTTTAATATGTTTTCT